GGAGAGTTCCTCTCACCTGAGCTGTGCTGCTGTCCTGACTGGCACCAGTCTCGGGCGAGTCCCTGCTCTATATCAGGACCGGTGCAGCCCTCTGGGGCACAACAAATGGAGATATTTTTAGTAAGCACTTACTCTGATGAACTCATTTAATTTTCATGACGACCTCATGAGATAGGCCCTATTTTTAGCTTTACCGAACAGGAGAATCTCAAAGAGGTTTGAGAGACAGGCTTAAAATCACACAGCTGGTGAGTAGCGGGACTGGAGTTTGCCTCAGGTCACTGTCCTGCTCCAAAGCTGAACTTTTCACTACAGTTCAACACCGTGGACTTGCCCTTGAGGGGCTTGCAGTCTGGTTGTGTGTGTGAGGCCTCTGAAAATTCCTGGAAGAGTCAGTTCTGGCTATGGCCCAAAACCTAGAGAAGGGGGGGACACAGGGGCGGAGGCAGAGGGGGACTTTGGGGAGGGAAGCAGCTGCTTGCAAGGCCCTGCTCCTCAGTCCCCTGGGAGCCTGCTCACATCCTGTGTCCCTACCCCTTCCCTCCTCAGACATAACCTCACTGCTCCTCACCCACCCAGGGGCCCAGAGAAGAGGTTATTGTTTCCTCTCACACATGAAAACCTGGAGACCCAAGGCCCTTTCTCCCCCGTCAGGAGAGCTCGTACTCCCCTCCAAGACAAGGATGGGGGAGTGCCAGGCCCCCAGGCTCCTCAGCACAGACCCAGCACCCCTCCTCAATCTAGCCATAGCCTCTCAGTCTCCAGACTTCATCTTTTGTACTTCTTTTCCTTTGAGGATATGCACTAGGCATCCTAGAAGAATGAGCCTGCCTGGGGCGGGGTGGCCTTCGGCCTTCCTGTTCTCTCAGTTTCCCCACTCCCACCTCTGCTATACTCTTTTCTGTGGGTTGGGCAGAATAGGACCAGGCATCTGGAGCCAGGAGCTGCAAGTCAGTACCTGGCTGTCTTAATCTCTCTAGTGGCATCATACCTCTGACGCTGTCCATACAGTGGCCTCACTGTAACATGGGGATGGTTGTGAGGATTAAATAGTAAATCGGCTATGGGGACACTTTGCCAGCTTTTAGGGACTGTACCTACTTTGGCTTCCCTCCTACTCTGGGCTTAGTTGAGTCTCGCCCAGCCCTTAATGCTCAGCTCTAGTCCACCACTTCCAGTAAGACCTCCCTGATTACACCCATCTGGACTGAGTCCTCACCCAGGAGGTGTCATAATCTGTACTTGGTGAACTTTGGCGTGTCCCTGGAATCCTCGAGAATCATGCATATGCCAGGCATGGCTATTACCATCCCATGCTGCCCCCATAGCACCAGATCCAGGACAAACTCAAGCTTGCTTCACTCATAACATCTGTATCTTCGGATTTGTCATTTTCCAAGTGCTTATTAGGAATCTTTTAGATACCCAGGGAGATGGTCAGGGGAGAGCTTTTTGTATTCCTACTATACTGGTGAGTAAAGCGAGGCTGAGAAAGGCCAAGAGACCTAGCCAATGTCACAAGACTAGTCAATTGCAGAAGCAGGACTCAACCCCATGCTCTGATGCTGTCCATAATCCCTGGTGGCCTCATTTGTGCGTGTCCTGAATAAACCCAACAAAACACCAGACATTTGTCCCCTTAAGGGGATTCTGGCATTTTCTTTTCTTCCCTTTGTGCCCTCCTCCTGGCATCCTGACCCCTTGAAAGAACCCTCTCTTAGGCCTGTCTGGGAGCAACCCAGGGCTGGGCAGGCAGGGATAGCCAGGGCCCTGGGTCACAGGAGAACAGAGACGCTAAAACAGACCCTACACACTACATATGTCCTGGGACGCAGCAGGCGGGGCTTTGCTCTTGGCAGGACAAACAGTCCTGGTTTTGAAGGGCCCCAGAGGCCAGGATAGGGTTTTAAATAGCCAGTGACAGGGCCAAGTGCAAGGCCCGGTTTAAATTAGTTGTCAGTGCTTGATTGAATCACGTTTAATTGTTGGTTGGTGCTGAAATGATGAATGAGGTATGGCTTTAAATAGGAACCATAAGTGTTTCAACCTCGCCCTGGGTGGGAACTACAGCACAGATCCGGGCTCCTCCTATTCAAAGGGTTCCCCGAAGGGGAAGGCAACGGAGAGGATAAGCTGGGCTGGCCTGGTTGCTCCACTTGTCCCCCAGTGGTTTATTATTTAGGAGAGAGGTGCAAGAGCCTGATGGAGACTCAGAGAGATGAGGTCTCAATACTTCTACCCATCTATCCATCCATCCATCAATCAATCGACTGCTTTCCTTGCCACCCTTTGATGAGCTTACTTGTTCCCATCTGTGCCTCTGCAGCTGTCCCCCAGTTAATCATGCCAGAGTGGACATAGAGAGAGGTGGGCATAGCACAGTGGAAAAGTCCAGTGTTTAGGAGCCAGAGTTCCCGTACCTGAGCCTCATTCACTGTGCTGCCCTGGAAGTCATATGAACTCTCTGGGCCTCAGTTTCCACACCTATAAACCAGGACAAAATTTGCCAACCTACCTCTTCTAATGAGTTGTTGAGGGACCAAACTGGAGAAAGAGCTCTGAGATCAGTCATCTGTGTTGTTACTGCTGGATGATCAGCGCCCCTCCCCCCACACCTGGCCCTGGGTCAAGCTGAGGGCCACTCTGTGTGTGTTGGGGAGTAGGTGTTAGAGGGAGACCCCGTGAGTCCTCTAGAGCCCAAGGATTGGCCCCTCCCTCCAGCGGGGCTTTGGTGTCTTCCTTGGTGTTGGACAGCTTTGTTCTCTAAGACAGGGCCAGAGGCCTCCATCTACCCATCTCACTTGAGGCCTGCCAGGCAGGCTCACCTGGCTGCACTGTTTGCCTTTAGCTTCCTCTGTCTCCCACCCAAACGGGGCAGTCAGAAGAGAGGGCAAGAGTAGCCCCATGGGCCAAGAAATTCCCAGGCCAGCCTCCTTGGGAGAGGAAGCAGAAGGGCTGATTGCTGGATTTTACTCCCAAAGCTGGAATAATTGGTTGCCAGCTCTTTGGCCACTCACAGGAAGGATGACTCGTCTGTGCCAGAACAGAGCCATGAGGACTTGTGAGGTCCCCATGGGAACGTCCATAGCAGGTGTGTGCATGAGGAGCTCAGGAAAGGCGTGCTTAATTCCCTCTCCTACCCTGCGGACATTGAGGATTATTCAGGGAAAGAAAATATAAAGAAAAATAGACATTTGAAAAATTTTAAGAGACAAATTCTGGCTTCATGAGCCCCTTTCTCCTGGGTTTCCACTAGATGAGTCTACACCCCTGAATTCTAACTGGAACTTCCTGACTGAGCCATTTCCACCTCAACCCTTCCCGACCCTTCCACACCCATTTCTCTCCCATCCTCCTGTTCAGCAGCCCAGCTTGGCCTAGCCCTCCTGGGGCCCTTTCTGCACCTTGTTTCCTCCTGCTGTTTGTCTTTGAGACACACCCTCAGCTGGGAGGTCCCTGAGGGCAGGACCAGGGGGGACAGCCATCTCTGTCCCCATCCACACTGTGTCCAGGCAGGTGTTGGCAGCCTCTGACCACACAGGCCTGAGGAGGGGCCATCTCTGAGGGTGAGCCTGAGGCTCATTAACTAACAATGAATGAATGTGGAGAGGAGCTTTTCAGCATTTTAAATGAAGGCCTTTGGTGTCTCATTTAAAGAAGCAATGGATACACTGAGGGCTAATTTTCCAAGGAGTAACTTGAGCTAGATGCTGGGGTAGGCACTGCAAAGTGGTCAAGGGTAAATTCAGGTCCAGGCTCTGAGGAAGCCCAGAGCTCAACTATTTACCCCGGGGGAACTGTCTGCATGTGCACAGTTACGCACCAGGCACTTTCTAACACAAGTATCAGCTCAGCTAATCTTCACAATAGCCTCATCCCAGAGTGGTGCCCATCCAAGGTCACACAACTAGTTAGTGATGGCTCCGTGGTCTGAAGGCCTGGCTGGGGAATTTGTGTTCTTACCCTATGCTCTTTAGTGTTGGATGCTGCCCCTCATCCCTTGCCCCTAACAAGGAGCATAACCAGGCAGGCTCTGCTCAGCCACCAAGCTGTGACTGACTCTCAGACCCTGTTGTTCAAAATGCAGCACAGTGAGTGACTCAGTCACTGGCCACACCTGTCAAATACTGACATCCAAGTAGGTAAGAACCTTGTGTTTTTGAGCCCAGCCAGTCATCCACATTTGCGTACAATTTACATTCAAAATGCTCAAGGGAGTCAAATTTGTTCCCTGGACTAATTTTGTGGCCCTGACTTTGTTACCACCAAAGCTCTATTTTATAGACTCAGCCAGTTAATCCACATATTCAATAAATATTTACTGAGAACCTACTAAGTGCTGGTCAGTGTGAGTTGGGGATACCTCAGTGAAGAAAATAAACAAGCCCAGTCCTTATATAGCTCGCCTTCTAGCAGAGGAATTCAGGTGATAAAAACAAACATAATGACTAAGTAATTGATACAGTCTGGTAGAGTGGTGAGTGCCAAGGGAACAAAATAAGCAAGTAAGGGGGATCTGAGATGCTGGATTAAGGTGGAGGCAGGAGGGCTGCAGCATTAAATAAGGTGGCCAGATAAAAGATAAGACTATGAGCCCAGATTTCAAGGGGGTGCTGCAGCGATCCAAGCAGATACTTTGTGTGTGTGTGTTCCAGACAGACAGAGTGGCTGGTGCAGAGACTGAGGCAGGAATGTACAAAGCACAGCACAGAGGTCAGAGCAGCTGGAAAAGATCCCAGTGTGAAACATGGACAATGCAGGTCAGGGCGATGGACGACCCTAACCTGAAGGACTGCAGCCGTGAGCAAGAGGAGAGTGTCAGGGAAATGAAGTCGGGGGTGAGGAAGGGCTGCCATTAGAGGCTACGGCAAGGACTCTGTTTCGTGCCACGTCAAGCAAGGAGCCACTGAAGGGGTTGGGACAGTGTCAATTCATGAAATGGGTTTCCTTCATCTCCCCTGGTGGGACGGGCAGCTCCCAAGGGTGCAGCCTGTGCTTACCTCCTTACTGCTCTGTTTCAGTGTTTGCAGTGCTCAAGGAGAACGCAGCTGCCGGCCTGGAGGGCCCAATCTCTTATCCAATGAAGGCGGTCTGTGTAGCCCAGAGGGGCACACACCATACAGGAGTCAGCTCCCTCAGTTCTTTCCTACGAGAGTTGGGAGGTGCTGGAGTGGCAGGTGATAAATTCAAAATTGTTCTGGGCTTATTATAGGTCAGCGAGAATGGAGCATTGAAGAGAGCACCCCGGTGATCAGTGGTGACAGCTGGAGCAAGAGAAAAAAAACAAATGTTCTGTTATCAGCTACTACCAGGGAAAGTGTTCAAAATATATACCTTTTTAAAAAAGTTATGGCACAGATGCTGACAATCAGAATGGAGACTGGCAACCTCCATCATTCCTGCTGATGTGTCTCCGTGCCAGTAGGAAATTATCCTTGTTAGAAAAATTATCCTTGATACCTTGATAAATAAGGGCAGGCCTGGGCAGGGGCCAGGAGTCAGGGTTACAAGAAAGAGAACAAAGAGAAGTAATTTGCTGTGTGAAACGTCAGCTGGTATCAGTAGAGACACAGAGGACGGAGGAAGAGAGAACGGGGTGGACGAGGCAGACGAGCAGCAGGCAGGAGAGGATGCGTGCACGGAAGTGACTGGGAAGCTCTCAGCAATTCCAAGTGGTTTGGGTTGCTGTCACATAAACCCATCCGCACCCCAGCGCTGCGGGTTTTTTTGTTTGTTTTTGGTGTGGAAGTTAATGATTGAAAAGGTCCCTGCAATCATGGTCGAGGCAGCCATAGCTGTGGGTGACCCCAAACTAAATTTTAGCAAAAGCAGGAGCCAGCCCCTAGGGGAGACCATGAAAACACATCCCCATGAGGATCTGCAGAAACCCGAGGGCTGTCTTGACATTTACCCCTCCTGAAGTGGGGTTTAAATCACTCTTACTACACTGAGGGTGGCCAAATTCCAGCTGAGCCCAGAATACATGCTGAGGCCAAAAAGAGAGGATACGATTTTTCTTTCTCGCTTTTTTTTTTTAATGTAGCTTGGAAAGTTTATGGGAGTTAGGGTGCAGAGGTGATGCTTTTGAAGAAAAACACCTGAAAGCCCTGGGCAAGGGGATGGAACTTTCTGGATTGAGCACATCTAGTGCCAGCAAGCACTATCGATTCTGGCAGCATAAAGAGAGTTCCGGAGCCCTCCGTGGATTTTTCAGGCCTTAATGCTCCCTCAGGCAACCAGGTACACAGACACGCCAGGCAGGGAGGCTGGCAAGCAAGGAGGGTGGCACAGGCCGAGCAACCGAGTCTCCCAGCCCGCCCCCTCCCCCAAATATTTAAGCTTTCTCTGGGCTCTCTGGCCTTCTCTCTCTCTCTGGATTTGTCTCGTGGTTTCCCCCTTTTCCCCTAACAGGCTCTTCTGTAGTCACACCACTTGTCTTCTTGTAGCCGCAGCTTGGCTCTGAGCGACGCCGCCCTTATATCCCTGGCTTTTAGGCTCAGGTGTGCACACTTATGCATGGCCACACCCATGCTCCAGGTGTCCACAATCTGGCACACCTGCCCGGTGCCCATGCTTTCAAGTGCCTCCTGCATCAACAGGATCAAGGCCAGAGGTGCCAGCCACAGAGGCTAGTGGCATAAAAAGCCTGATTAAGTCATCTACCCTATAGCACAGCCGGGTTTACTGAGCTTTGGGCTTACGGAGCCCTCTCCAACTTGCTCTTGCTCTCCCCTATGGCAGGCAATTGGTGTTACTGGAATTCCTCGATTAATTGGTGAAGGAAGGGAGGAAGGTGTTCCAATCCCTGTTGTGTTGGCGAGAAGCTGAGGCTGGAAAGGTTGGGTGACCTCTATGATATGGTGGTGACAAGAATGACCACTGACAGGGAGCTTATCGTGTTGTATGGGGGACTGGGGAGGGGGCTCTGTACCCTCTCTCACTGAACCATTTAACCACCTGCAAGGTGGATATAATCAGCCCCATTCGATGGAGCTTGGGCATACTAGGAAATGTGCCTGTGGCGGGGATGCACAGGCTGGGTCCTCAAGGGCACCCACCCCCTAGCAGCCCCAGGAGCAGGAATAGGGACCAATCAGGGTCATTGGGGACACTTTAGGACTTTGAGGAGCTGTGGGTAGAAGTGACAGGGAGGCAGGTTTAGTGTAATCCTGAAAAACCTTTTAGACAAAGCTTCCTCAGGGAACGGCTGAAGAGCTCAGACAACTCGGCTGAAACTTCTCAGTGTGTTGCAAAAGGGACACTTCCTGGGCTGGGGCTGACAGAGCTGGCCTCAGGGCTGGAAGGCCACACCCTTATACCACCTCTAACCCACCCTCCCTTACCTTGAGCCAACAGCTCCACCTCCCCGAGCCAGACTCCACTGTGTAAAAATGGGAAAATGAAGCCTTTCTTAAAAGCAGGTGGTGTGAGGAGCCCGAAATCTGAATGACTAGAGGCTAAAGCACCTCTCACGCAGCTCAGGTTGGTACTGGGTGAAGCTTACTATGACTCTAAGGTGAGTGCGGCTTGGATTGAGGAGCCAGCCCTCTGCATCACTGACTCTGCCTCAGGGGGCCCTGCTTACTATGGGGTTTGCCGCAAGCTGCAAGAGGCCCAGGTGCAGATGCCCCCAGGCGAGTCCCCCAGGGCTGAGAAATGTCCATGCAGAGCCAGCTCCTTTGTGGAGAGGTGGGTAGGCACACCTCACCATCTGTTGAGAGTAGAGAAATCTCACGTTTCATTTCATTCTCCAAGTTGCATGCGATGGCCATGGCCTGGCTATGGTCATGCTGGTAGGAGAGTGGGAACTGGCAGGGCCTGGGCCTCATTCTCCAGGTCCTCTTCCCACAGAGGCATCCAGAGGGCAACGACTGGGTCCTCTTTGCAAAACAAACTCACATGATTTCCAGCAACACAAGAGGCCTCAAGTGACAGAGCTTTTGCCAAACCCTAGAGGGAAGGAAAATTGGGGAATGGAGGGGGTCATGGAATGGGAGTTGCCATCCCCACCCCCAAATCCCTTTCTCCTGGATTCCAGAAAACTCCTTGTAAGCAAGTCTTACAGCCAATCCCAGAGGCAGGGTGAGTTTGGGCTTTTGGAGGAGAAAGGAAGGACTGTTATGCCCATTCCTTGCATGTCTACTGAGTGTTGAGTGGTACTTTGCTTATAGGAGAGTTGCGTTAGTGGGTTGGGGGTGCACGGAGATCTGGATTCAAAGTCTGACTTTGTCACTTGTCAGCTGTGTGGTCTGGGCTGGCAAATAACTTCTCTGAGCTTCTGTTTCCTCTGAGGAAAATGGAGCTAATAATGGCATGCTTTGGAAGGGTGTATGGAACATTAACTCAGGCAAAGGGTTTGGCACAGTGGCTGCCACATAGTAATTGTCATTACGATTAAATAGCTGCTATTAATAGTAACATCATCTGCAAATTTCATGGCAATGCTGAGGTAGGTATTGTAACTATTATAGGCATGGATACTGAGGTTCAAGGGGGCATTGAGGTACTTTTTTTCAGGCTCTGACAGTTAATGAGCGGTAAGCTCAGGATTCACACTCAGGTCTGCCTGGCTCCCAGACAGGCCCACTCACACTGCATCTGAGGTGGGGGCCTGACTGGGTTTCCTGATACAATGCCAAGTTGCTCTGAGGCTGGGGAGTTGGAATGCAGGGGGGTAGCGTCTCCCGGGCATCAATTTCCTGGCCCAACTGCTCCCTAGACTTCACGGGCTCGGCTGCTGCCCAGCTGGGCCTGGCTGACCACCAAAGCCCAGGGCTCCCTTGCCAGGCCCGGGGCTTCTCTGTCTTCTGAGCCTCCAACTGGAGTGAGCGTCTGCAGCGTGGGCCCTGCTCCGAGTGCATCTGCACAAATTGGACCCCAGACCCTGCATGGCTGACCTCACTCCTGCTCGGACAGCTTAGTGAAACTGAGCCAAAGTGGCTTGGGATTGAATGTTAGGCTCTGTCACTTAACAGCTGGGTGACTTTGGTCTTGTTACCTGCCCTCTCTGAGGCTCAGTGTTCTCATCCCTCACACCAGAGCAACGGCACCTAGCTGTCCATGTCCCTGTGAGAAATCACATGAGATGACGAACAGGACAGTGCCTGGAAGGTGACACTGCTGCCCTTTCCTTTGTCTTGAGACCAGTGTCCCTGGAACCACGGGACCATGGAGGCCTGGGATGGGACCTATTTTTCATCCTTAGATATGGACTTTCTGCATGTCATCCTTAATGAAAAACGAATCACTCGTGTTCGTTTCATTAAATGCTGCCCCCACAAAAGTGTAGGCTTATGCAATTCTCCAAAGACTGTCAACTGGAAGATATCTCTGAATTCCTCGTAAATCAAGAGGTTGCATTTTGCTGCCAAGATAGTCAAACTTTCTCTGCCTGAGTTAGGCAGAGGGGTAGTGCTGGCCTGGGATCAGAGTCGAGAGACCTGCCTGCTAGTTCAGACTCCACCAATTATCTGTGTGGCCAGGAGCAGACTGCTTCTTGGAGGCCTCAGTTTCCTCCAGTGAAAAATGGGTGGGGTGTGTGTGTGTGTGTGTGTGTGTGTGTGTGTGTGTGTGTGTGTGTGTGTGTGTACAGTTCTGGATGGTCTTCCATCTCCTCCAGTTCTAAAATCCTAGAGCTTGATCTTTCTTTCTCCCTCTGCTTCTCTCCTCCCTCCCATTCGCCTCCCCTTCAGACCCCTATCACCCCCCTCACCCCCCCATCCCATACTTTATCTCCTCTGTCAATCAGGCCAGATCAGCCGAGGGCAGAGACTGTGGAGGAAAAACATCTATGCATTCCTGGCAGACGACAATCCTCTAATGCCCCTTATTGCAAAAGCAGCCCTTCTTTGAGGTGAAAAGAAGGGCAGCCAAAAATCTATGTTTCTATTATGGGGTCCAGAAAGGAGGGGGCTCATTTGCTCTGGAGCTAAGGATGGATGCATTTAGAAGTAAAAGCAGTGCTGTGCCATCCTGTCCCGAGCTGCAACTTTGGGAAGGGGTCCTGGGCCAGCTCCAGGGGGCTCATTGTGGTCTGGTAGAGCAGGCCCCAGGCTACCCACAGGGGTCTGTAGACTGCGGGGGAGAGGGTAGGAGCACATGGGGTGAAGGACCTACAGGGAATTCAGCCTCCTAAAAACCACAGCAGAGCTGGTCTCCTGGGGAGAAGACGCTAACTAAAATATTATTTATTTATTTATTTATTTTTTTACCGCTGGTCTATCTGACCAGCAGTCGGAGATATAAATAGGAGACTGAAGAC